TTCCTGCTTTTTCCCCTCAATTCAACTTATTTTTGTCATTCTTAGTCTTGCTTGTTCATTCTGATACTCATTCCAGTTTCCATTTTTTCTCTTCTCATTTATCCATCCTTCCATGTGGGCATCCCCAGTCAATCAGTTTTCACTTCTTGTTCAGTCCCTTTTCTTTCTTCTAGCCTTATTCCTCACCCCACACCTGGTGTGTATGCTTTAGTATTTAGCCACTAGAGTCGTACATGCTGCCTTGGTGGAAGTAAGTGTTCACCATTGCAGATGCATTTGGAAAGTAATAGGAAGGGAATTATGCTCTGGGGTCTTCACTTGTCTTTCAGGGGGCAGATCAAATGACTATGAGAATTAATAGATGAGGTGTCTGAGACTGCAGAGTAGAGAGCTGTGCTCACCGGCAGTCTGAGTGAAACCCTGCAGAGATTTGAAATAGAGTATATAAAGCAAATTAAGGTTAGTAACTCAAATTAAATTTAGACTTAAACAGAAATTGATGCTTGGAGAGGACAGAGTAGTATTTTCTTACATTTTCACATAACTTACTCATTTGCAGAAAAAATAATTTTCATAGCCCTAGTCATCTTAAAGTACTACTGAATCTGGTCACACTTGTGGGTAGCACTGAAGACCGCTGACTTTACCTAATAGAATAACCTAGAAAAAGAAAAGTAGGTGGCATTTTTTTAAATTTTATTTTAACTTTGTGGTTTGGTTGATTTCTTTCCCCCTCTGCCTCCCATAATGTGTCATCTTCCAGGAATATATTGTGGCTCATTTTCTTTGCTCATTAGCACTAGTTTAAATAATATTTTGTATGTGCCCTTCAAGCTTGTAGCAAGCTGCTATTGCAGATCTCAGGCAGAAGAATGTTGTATATCACTCTCTTAACATCATGGGCCCACACTTCACCGTTCAGCAAAGGGCTCTTGGTGATTAGAGAGACTGCTCTAATTTTCCTTGGATCTGGTTTGCACTGAGGTGGGAGGCTGGTCTTGTAAAAGGCACATGCAGAACAGATTAGATTAAAAAAAACTAAAGATTTTTTTTTTTTTAATATTCAAATTCCTTTTTGCTTTAAATTAAACCTAATTTAAAACTGAAACACTACATTAAGTCCCAACCCTTACTGTAATCTAATCTAGTAAAATAATTTAACAAAAATGTATCTGGAGCAAATATGCATTGCTTGAAAGTTTTAAAGGAAATCCAATTAATTAACTGGAGGAAGTCACTGACTAAGCACCTGGAACCAGAGTTGGTTGAGTCGGTAAAACAGTTTTGATAGCGGGTGCATCTACTTAATCTTTCTTACAAATTTAGTTTAGTTAAGTAGTTCACTCAAAGTTGAGAAATTGATTAGGATCCAGAAAAGCAGGAATCCCTCCCTCCTCCCCCCACACCGCTGATCTATGAACAGAATACTATGTGCTTGATTGCTGAACAAACAGATATCATAATCTTGAAGGACGTGATGGTCAGAAACCATCATCTCTATTTACAAATTACAGACAATACCTTCTTTGTTTAATAAATCAGTTTTAATTGCAAAACGTGTTTTGATAAAAAGCAAATAAATGTGCTGGATGCATAAAATCAGTTTAACTAATAAGCACGTCTTTAAAATGTTGACGTTCTGTGGGGGGTTTTAAGTTCCAGTTTCCATCAAAAGCAACTCAACACCAATCATAATAAAATGTCTGTAACTTAGAAATGTCTTTCCTAATTTTGTTTAACAATGAAATGTAAAAGTAAAGCGTACAACTAAATGCACGTTGAACTGTGTCACAGCATTTAATATACACGTTTAAGCAGCATGGACTGATCTGAATGGATCCCAGCAGGAAGCAAGTTTTCTCTGATTGTAAGCCATATAGCAAGGCATACGAGGAAAGGCTGAGGGACCTGGGCCTCTTCAGCCTAAAAAAGAGAAGGCTGAAAGGGGACTTGGTAGCAGCTTCCTGCTACATCAGGGGAATACATCAAGGGCTCAGCGAACAACTGTTCGCCAGGGCACCGTTGGAGAAAACCAGGAGTAATGGCTACAAACTCCTGGAAGACCATTTCAGGTTTAACACTAGAAAAAACTTCTTCACAGTTAGGGTTTCCAGACTGTGGAATAAACTCCCTCCAGAGGTGGTGCAGTCACCTACCCTGGAAATCTTCAAGAGGAGACTGGACGGTCACCTAGTACAGGGGGGCTGGACCCGATGATCTTGCGAGGTCCCTTCCAGCCCCTTACAATCTATGAATCAGTCTATGTAAACAAGACTTCAGTAACTTAAATTGAGGTTTGCCATTTTTCAAGCCATTAAAATTACATAGGCAGCTGACTTACTGTTTCAGTTGTATAGTTGCCTTTGTCTGCTACCCAAATGAGCATCATAGAGTAATTGTATGGTTAAAGAACTTTGTCAACAGTATCTTGTCCTACCAGTGGTCCTACAAAATAAACGGGTATGGTTCATTGTGTTCACTTTGCAGTTAGGACCTTTTGGCTAATGTGTGGTGGTCAGTGAGAAATTATGTGGGTTGGTGGTAGTCCACTAGTCCAAAAAGTTTTTTTTGAAAGCCATTACTGTAAGAACTTTACAGAACATTTTAACTAAGTAAGGTCAGCCTACTTAGCCCCGTGTTCCTAAAATACAGGGCTGGAAGGGGTCTCAGAAGGCCTTCTAGTCCAACCCCTTGCTCCAGGTAGGATCGTACTCCTCTAAACTGTCCAGGGCAAGTGTTTATCTAACCTGCTCTTAAATTTTAAAGAATAGCATTTCCACAACCTCTGTACGTAACCTGTTGCACTATGTAAACCATCCTTATTGATATATTACCTCAAAGTATTTTGCTGTTAACTGATGTTCAGGAAAATTAACTAAATCCCAGCAAAGGTTGATATTAAAGATGAGATCTTTAAACCAGTCCTGGGACAGATTCTGATCTTTCAGAGAGGCTTGATTTAACAAACATTTAGATTTTTCACCCCTCTTTACTTTCTGAAAGAGAGGAGCTACGCTCTTCTGTTTTTGCCCCATTCCTTTCCTTTCTTGACAGGGAGTAGGGGTGGGAGATGAGACGCATCACTCTCCCTTTGGTGAGACTTAGGCTGTTTGCAGACAGCATAGTTTAGCGGGGGTATTTAAAGTGGGTTAAATACCTTTTGTACTGCTTTAATGGCATTGCTGTTTGCACATTTGGCAGCCCATTACATGTTAATTCCAGCCCCTGTAGCACATTCGGTGGCATAATGCACCTTTAAATGACTTTGGGATTCAGCAAACAATTTTGGGGCACTGCAAAGTAAAACACTTCTGAGGAGTTTTAGTTTCCTACCCTGCCGCCGCGGAGGGAAGCACTGGGCTCCCCCCAGCTCAGGGACCACTCTGCCAGCTGGCAGCTCCCCTCTCTTCCGCGCCACTGGAGAGGCAGGTAAGGGTTGGGCTCCGACAACCAGGTATACACGACACAGGGGTTTACTTTTAAAAAACCACTGCTTCAATTTAGGGAGAATTAACCCTTCCGTGTCATCTACAAATGCCCTTAGTGCTCACTTTAGGGTAGAGAGTCTCCTGACTTTCTCAACCAGAAAATTGTTGCAAAAGCTTTCTAGCTAGTTATTTCTTGTCCCCCAATAAAATTAAAACTGAATTATTAGAGGCCATGGTATTGGATGTAATTCTGTTTCAAGAGATGTTTCCAGTGCAGGAAAATAAAAAATAGCTCGATTTTAACTTGCCGTTAAAATTTGAGCAATCCAGTTTTTTGGCAGCATTGAACTATTTCCAGTCTTATACCACTAGAGGGCATTCTTTAATAAAAGATCACCGAACTCAGTATAATGCCACTTTGTGAGGTAGCTTCGGTGGGGGTTTTTTGATTCTTATTTCACAAAATATAAGGATATTAAGGGTTTTTTTTTTCTAAATCTGTATTTTAATTCTGTTTATCAGGTTTGTGGCTCTTTGATTTAAAGAATTCAGATAGCTGAGACTGTGAAATAGCAACTGTAAACAGTTTCTTTAAACCATTTTCTGTATATTTTGAAAAATATTAGTGCGTGTCTGAGTAAAGGTCAGTTGTAAAGCACCATAACACACTTGTTTTTGGGCTAAGGAGAAATTATGTGAGCGCCCTTTTCTTCTATTCCTTCTGGGAGTCTTAAATAGGTTATGTGAAGAGAAAAGCCGTCTCGCCATCTAAGCAGGTAGTGCACCGAGATTCCTGTGATTCCGGTTACTGATTAATTTTATACTTACATAAAGGGCACATACCTAATTTCTAAAATATTTATTAGATATGTTGCCATCTTTCCCTTTTCCTCCTTGTTTCACCCACTCAGGGTGTGCTTTTTAGCTTTTGGGGCTAGGAATTGTGATTCCCGTGACAGTGGTACACAATGCGGCTGTGACCTACTCAATACCTGTAGACCTATAATTTATTAGTATTCAGTTACCACTTAAAGGTGTGTCCCTATATAAAACATGTCCTAAAATTTGAGGGGGAATATCCCACAGACCATATGATTTTGCTGATGTTTTACCTAAGGGAGGGGTTGGCAGCTTAAGGCCTGTGGACTGAATCTGTCCTTGTGGTCACATTGGACCTGGGTAGAGAGGAGCTGCACCAGGATCAGGCAGCTGAGCCCACCCTGCCACCAAGCCCTTCTCCCCTGATCCCCCCTCCACTCCCCCTCTCTCTTGCAGCAGCGATGATAGAGCTTCCAGCAAGTGGAGAGCTATGCTGGGGCTAGGCAACTGGAAGCTACACCTGCATGACAGCCAGGAGAATGGGTGGGCTGAGTAGGAAGGAGAAACAGCAGCAAGACAGATGCAACTTCCAGCTGCCCGGCCCTAATGGAGTTCCCAGCTGCTTGGCCCCAGCATGGGCGCACACAACCTCCACCTCCCCCTAACACCCGCCCCTGCCCACCACCACCAATATGCTGCTGAAACTCCCTGGCCCACATTGGAGTGGAGCCGGATTGCTCTAGCCTGCAGCTTGTAAAAGTTACTGGCTGTTAATTTAAGGCATAAATTGTATTGCTTTGTTTCAAAAAAGTAATTATAGACCAGATGAGATGTTTGCTCTAACTGTAACTTTATCATATCTAATTCATTAAAAATCATAATACCTTCTTAAGATGCTTATTAAAATATTGGCATGATCTTAGTAAAGTTACTTGGTTTCCATTTCAGGTAAATTATTCCTATTCCAGACATCTATAATCCCAAGATTTGTTCTCGTTTCATTCTGCTTGGTAACGTCCCCTCTTCCAAGAAACTATGCCTACAGACTATGCTCATGTGTTATTAATGTTGCAGAAAATTAACATCTTGAAAAATCCTTGTAACAAGGTTATTTGTCTCTCTCTTCCAGTTGGTCGAATTATGTTTCAGCTCTTCTCAGATATATGTCCAAAGACTTGCAAGAACTTTCTTTGCTTATGCTCAGGTAGGTTGTATTATCAATTCTTTATAGTTGCTTAACAATTGATATAATTATTTAAAATAACAGGGGTATCATAAGTGGCTTTGGTAGGTGTAGTGTGTGTAAAATATCCTTTGTTCAGAATAGTCCATCTCCAAAAAATGCAAGTCTAGGCCCCAAAAACTTAAGAACATTGTAAATAGCACAAAATGAACCGATGGTTGCCTTTGTGGACTATGGGTTTCAGAAAGGCATGTAGAGTGCTCAGTTAGTGTGCATGTTACTGGTGGGTCAGGACTTCTGTGTAACTCGAGGGGAACCAAAACGATTGTGCAAGGGTTTGGGAGCAGAGAAGGAGTTGGGACTATATGAGTTTGGGATGGCTGTAACACTAGGTGTTCAGTCACTTTAGGGAAGGATAATAAAAAAGGGTTCTGCTGGAGTAGCCTTCTGTAGTTCCCTAGCGTTGGATTTGGATGTGGCCAGAGATCTCTGCAATGGCACTGCAGAGATGAACACTACTCAAAAGTGGAGACATTACCTTCCTGGATGTAGATTGAAGAATGCGTGTTGCTAATAATGATAGAGGCTAAATACAATCTAAGCTGCAGATAGTAGGCTCATCGCAATCGGAAGACTGCCTGATGAGTAGCCTAGGCAGTAAATCCTTCTAGCCCATTTTAACTTGTTTGAGTGCTGTGCTATTAGCAGTCCCCAAACTGATTTTGCTCTGTCAGTCTCAAGGCTGGTATAAGAGGCAAGGTTGTAATGCAGTAATGTAAGGACTTTATTCAGGTGGGAACAGCTAAAAGCAGATTGACCGCAAACTCCAAATAACACAGTTACTAAGCCTTAATAAGGTGCAAACAGCTGAGAGCAAATTGTTTGGATGCAAATTAGCAGGCAGGTTTAAATGGACTTTAGTGTCTTTAAAATTGAAATCAATGGGATTTGACACATTCATCTTTGTATGTACTTGAAAAGCATTACTGCTTGGGTTGACCAGGTTGTTTGGGTAAATGATACCTTTTAGTAGACCAAATAAATAGTTGGAAAAATTGTTCTTTGCAAGTTTTTGGGAACAAACACCCTTCTAAAGGTATAGGGAGAGTCTGCTGGTGTTTTTTGTGCTGTCCTGGGTGGAGTAGAAGCCAGTATGCAAAACACAGGTTTGTGAAAATGCAAGTACATCTCAGTGAAGAGAAAATATATGTTGCTGTTGAGTTTGGCTTCTTTCTTCTTCATGCTGTGAAGTTTCCATTTCACATGGCAAAATTCAATATCTTTCATATTTCGGGGGGTATTGGTTATAGTCGTGTCTGCCTGAGGACATAGGCAAATAAGGTTCTTTGGGTAAATGTGATATTTTTCTATTGCATTCTCTGTAGGAGTTACCAAGATTGGATCTGGTCATTTTAAGAAACACATTTCCTGCTAGATTGCATCTTTTCTTTCTTCCTGGCCCCCCTCCTCCTCCCCCAGTTTCATTCTTTTAGGAGATCTATGAGCAGCCTATTTATAACCTTTATCTGTGATGTTATTTTCAACCTCCCTCCCAGTTCCTGGGGCAGGTGGAGAGTGGCAGGAGGGCAGGAGCCTGCAGGCCACCAGTTGGACAGCCTCACCATGGAAGAAGCTTTTTCTAACTATCAAATTCCTTGTACAAATCTGTTCCCAGCTAATCGGTGTTCCAGTGCTAGTGTTGAACTTCAATTTATGCATCTCTTCTCCATCCCTGCTGTGTGCATCACTGACCAGTATATAGAGCAGTAGCCCCTGTTGGCCTTTGTGCTGCTACACAAACCAAGTAAATCTCTAGTCTCCATTCATGATAGTGGAGTTCTCCTCGTTATCCTTATATTTCAAGTCCTTTCCTAGAAACTTCCTCAAAGTAGTGCCCTTACTAGACCTTAATGACACGATCTTGTCCTATCTCTACTGGAAATACCTTGCCTGAAATGCATTTATCTATTTCATGGCTGAATCCTATTACTGATTTATAGTGCTTCTAATGATCAGCACCCAGAACCACCACCTCCTCCTCCTCCTCCTCCTCAGCACTTTTCAGCTAATAAACTCAGAGCTCATAGCAGAAATTCTTACTGACTCCTATTCTACCTTGTATTTTGCGCTCTGAGTTTAATTTTATTTTTATTACTCCAGTTTTCAAGGGCACCCATTCTTTCCTGCATGATATCCAGATCCTCCTTGATAATATGCATCATCAGCAAATATAATTAGCCTGCACTGACCTTTTTTTGTGCCATTGTCATTAACAGGGATCCTGGTTTTCTCTGATTTAAAAAAAAAAAATCCCTAATTTTCAGTTTTAAAAAAAGTAACCCCAAATCCACATTTTTTTATGATTAAAATGAAACAAAATCTTTTGCTGATAATTTATTTCCTTCAAGACAAGTAAGTGCAACCCATCTGAATAAGATATATGGTTGTGTCCATTGTGCTCAGACTCTTTTTCAAGTCATGGTAAACCACTACATTGAACACATTTTGACTTCCTTGTCACTCCCACAGCCAGGCAGTGCCTTTCTTCCATTTCCAGTCATTCCTGTTTCTTCGCCAGCCTAAAATGTCTGGCGCACATCACAAAACAGGGCCCTCAGCAGTTCATTCAGAATCAGCCTGTTGCCTCCTCTCCCAGCGTGTTGCATATGATTAGTGTGGCCCTGATGTCCATGAGGTCTAGCCAGACCAGGTGTTCCTGCACTTCATCTATCTACAGATACATTTTCAGAGGATCCCCCGACACCTGGTTCCACTGGGGGCTAGCTTAGCACATGGCTCCTTTGTGGGGGCATCTAGAGTACACGCAAATACTGAGCAGGGCTGGGCTATGGGGTCACCAGCCCAATGAACTATATGGTATATCATGAGCCTTTTGGCTTTGGACTAATAGCATGCATACTTTGTATAAGTAGGTACAGGAGTGCTGCTTAAAAGTGTGTTTATAGAGAACCGGTGCTAAAACTTGCAGCAGTTTAAAAAAAAAAAAAAAAAAAAAGGTAAAATGTATCAATTCTGGATGAACCAAGTCTGTGGACATGCAGTAATTTGCCTACATGCAAGTTACTACAAATACGTTGTTTTGTTTTAGTTGGGTGTTTTTTTTGCAAGATCAGTGTTTTCAGAGTTGCCCCTCATTTCCATGGGGGAGCAGGATCTGACAGTAAGAAGGGAGGGGAAGGGGCTGCAGGGGGAAGAAGTTGTGGGGGGCAGAGAAGAAGGGGGCTGCCTGACTCCCCAGATTTATTTTCCCTGTTGTAGCAGTGGGAGGGGGACAAATTCAAGGCAAATCTTCAATAATTGGAGTCTATACTTGGAACATTAGAACAAATGTATACATTGTCCATATATAGTACAGGCAGTCCTCGACTTGCAACGTTTTGAGTTGCAGTGTTTCCCACTTACAGTGTTTATAAATTGATGCCCTGTTTCAACTTTGACATCAGTTTCGACTTTACAACGCTTGATCCGATACACCATGCGAGCGAACAAGTTCGCTGTGTTGCTCATCTCCCTGGAGAACATCTGTCCAAACTTCCTTGGATGCTTTCTTTAAGAAAGCAGGCAAGACTCCAGAAAGCCCTGCAACCAAGACTCCTGAGAAGACTCCAGCCAAGAACCCTTTAAAAAGTCCAACCAAGAGCCTTTCAAAAAGTCTGGCAAAGTCACATCAAAGAAGTCTTTCCAAATCAATGTGATTGCTATTTCCAATATAAAGACATTAATGTAGCTATATTACTAGTTTATAATTGATTGAGTACAAAATTCTGGGGTATTTTTGGTGAAATAGGGTATGGGGCCTTTGTTCAGGACCAATCCCCCATTTTTAACATTGTTTCTTATGAGAAAATTGGCTCTGAGTTCCAACGTTTCGACTTAAGACACGGTTTTCAGGAACCAGTTGTGTCGTAAGTCCAAGGACTGCTTGTGTCTAATTATTGGGGGGTCATCTTGTATTCAAGTAAATATGGTAACTGGTTAAATAGTTTGACAGCCTCTCATGTTTCCTTGGAACTAAAAAAATAAAATTCTGCTTGGGGATTTATCCAGTAATAGCTGGGTTCTAGTTAAAAAAAACACAAACAATTTTGCTTTACTTTTTAATTGCCATTTTACAGGTGAAAAAGGAATTGGAAAAACAACTGGGAAAAAGCTATGTTACAAAGGCACCACATTCCATCGTGTGGTTAAAAACTTTATGATACAGGGTGGGGACTTCAGTGAAGGTAAAACATTTTCTTTGTTTGCCAAAAGATTTCACTGCAGCTTTCATTTACAGAGTTAAAATACTTTAAAAATAATTTATAGAGTTAAAAATCTGGAAGTTCCCTGAAAATGGTTTTACAGTTTCTGAACATAAAGTCAAACTACTAAGATTTTATTATTCATTCTGTTATGTTAAGATTGCATCCAGCGCTATACTTTATTACAGAGCATGAGGTCTCAGAGCACTCGCATGTGCTTCCTGAGACTAATCCTTCAGTTCTGTCAATCCTTCTAACACTTTTTTTTAAATTGAAACTGGAAAGCTAAACCAATTTCAGATTTCCCTTACTGAATTGCTAACCCTACTGTCCCTTACCTTGTTTGAATGAAAAATGATTTAAATGTTAATTTACATTCTAACCATTTTTGCATTTTCCTTTTTTGTGAGCTATACTAACGATGTTTACTCTTGTTCTCTTGAGTTGAGACACAGCAGCATGGAAGGGATGTAACTATAAATAAGTTCCGTGGTGATAGGCATGTTGGAAATAATTTAATGAATGGGTCCCTGAATGCCAATTTAGAATACGCAGGATGTTTTTACTCCCCTGCCCCCCTCTTTTGTTCTTGTGTCCCATCCACCCATGCATAGGCAACTTAGTGTTTCTTTCCTTGTTGCCTCTGAAAATTACCATAGTGCCTTTGTCATTCAGCCTTACAATCATACTGATTGGCTCTGCAGCGTGACTATTTCTACTGGTAAAATGCTGCACTTCCAGGTATGTTGTACTAGGGGATGACTAGAAAGGAGGGTGGCTTTGAAAGAACTGCTGGCTAGTTATTTATCCACTTCTGTGGGAGCTAACCCACACCTGGAATGCCTCTGTGCAGGGAAAGCTTGTCAGCCTTATTCATTCACTTTCTTCTCCGGTGCTTGCTGTTGCTTTTCCCCTTCTTCCTTCCTTTTACCCAAAAAGTGCGAAGGGTCGTCTCTGAGCTTCACTCAGCCTTTCCCAAGCTTCCAGGGGTAGTACAAGGCTCCTTCCAGTTTCCAAAGTTTCCAGGGATTATGGTCTACATCACTGGTGCAAAATTTTCAGTTGAATTTAAGATAAATGTGTTCATGGTTATGCTTTGTAAAATAGGGTTGTCAAAAAATCAAAATGTTACATCTTTAGTACATGCATATATCCCTTTCACTTGTATTAGCTGTCCACAGTATCATGTTTTTTTGTACTTTTAATGATTGCCATATGTATCAATTTTATAACCCAAACTTTTAAAATCTCTGAAAGATTAATACACACTTCTATTATGTAGGTAATGGAAAAGGAGGTGAATCTATCTATGGGGGATATTTTAAAGGTAAGCTAAATATATCTTTATGGTCTTTTGCTTCAGTTCTGAGATAAGCAAGTTTTTTGATATTTTTTTTCCCCCAAGATATTTAATGAGAAGAGATCTACTTATAGATCACCTTTTGCATGAAACTAATGTTGCATGAAAATTGTTTTTATATGCATGAATTTCAGATAAATTTATTGTAATATTTAATTTAAACTGACAATTAATTAAGGCTAACATTATTGGTTGAACATGACTTTCAGCATGGAGGTTAGGCAACTTTATTCATGAATAAACTCCTATCTTCCTGCCTAAAACTGTCAACATATTCTTTTGTTTATAGAGAATGTGGTCTTTTGCAAAATGAAAAGGTAAGAGACAAAAGCTCAGTAACACAAATTCAAACTCTGTTCCCTTTTACCCTTCCTAATAAATATTATAGACAACTGATTAAATATCAGTTTTGTGGATGGATATCTGTATTGCTTGGAGAAGTGAAGAATTCTGTATCTAATCTTTTTGAGGGGTACTGATTGATTTGAAGATATAATACTTGGAATTATTCTCAGATCTGAACAGTTGTCATTTCTTTAAAGCACCTCCCTTTTTTCCTCTCTGAGGTTTGTATTTTTCGGGTTTGATTTCTAAAAATACTTGGCCGTGTTGATACTCCACACAAGGTACTAATTTGCTTGCCTATACTAGGTAAATAAATTCATCGTTCACTTTCTTTCTAAAGCTTTTTCTTGGAAAGAAAGAGGTGAGAGAGTTTTATTATGGTATTTGGTGCTTTTAAGAGACAGGGTATGGTATAATTCTTATTTTGTGAAGGCTGGGAAGTCCCTGTGGTGTTCCACTGTTGAAATAAGCTTTTCCACAACAGCTGGATGTTTCAAGTGTTGTGTGTAGCTCTTTGCAATTTAGATGCATGCTCTGAAGCTTCTGTAGTATAAGAAGACATGGTTAGGTGTCAGAATATGCAGCGTCTACATGAGGATGTCATGTAGCTGCTTCAGATTTTAAATGGTTATACATTTTTCTTTCTAAGGAAAATGCTGAGATTAGTAAATGCTAACAATTTGCTATTGTATCTTTTGGCAGACTTAAAGATTAATGGTACAGCTTTTAAGTCTGTAATATGAGGTTGTGCATGGTAGATTTTACTGAAATATTTTTTCTAAAATTAATGTTGTTTTACTGATTGTGTTTTGCTTGCACAACTGCAGGTTAGTTTACTTAATTCATTGCACTAAATGATGCATTTTTATATTTTCAATATTAATTATGTGTTCTATCACTTGGGTGAAGAGCAGACATGTTGTACTGTTTCTCATTCAGTTATTCCTATGAATTTAACTTCCTTTTGCATTTTGAGACTTCAAGTGTGGATTCAGTAGGTTTGCTGTACCTCCAGATGCACCCTAACAGGGAGCAAGCTATTTGAACAGGGTATTTTCTACCTCCGTGACACTCACTCTGATGGAGAAATGGTAGCAGTGAACAGGCGCAGCCATGTTTTAGCATGGCAAAGGGAGAGGCGGTTAGAAAGGTGGCTTTCCTACAGGAAATGTTTCAAGTGGTGTAAGCATCTGATGCACTATAGTTGTATTGAAGATAGTACCGAAACCTTTGAAATTGCATTTAAATACATTATTTTAAACAATATATTTTGTGCTGTTTCCAGAGCTGTGACTTATCTAAAAAAAAAATACCACTGTATTCTTTGCCTGCTGTTAGAGTTAACAATTATAACAATTATCTGCACTCGTATTTTTAGAGGTTTGATTAGATTTAAATTTTCTTTCTTTTTTTTCCTTTTTTTTTAAGTGTTCAGATTTTCTTAGTGAGCAGCTGAAGATTTTCTCCTTGTACTATCCATGTGTTACAAGAAAAGAAAAATATTATACCTGTATTCACCGACAGGAGACTGACTAGCGTGTTTTTTCTTCAAACAGATGAAAACTTTATTCTCAAACATGACAGAGCGTTCCTTTTGTCAATGGCAAACCGAGGGAAGCATACCAATGGTTCCCAATTTTTCATGTGAGTAGATATAATTTCAGACTTGAGCTTTTCTTAAACAGAGAAGCGCTGTTCATGAGAAAGATGGTATTGCTAAATTAACTCCAACTGGATGTTATTGGCCTTAATGCAGTTTTTGCAAGGTGCCCAGTGGGTACCTACAGTCCCTAATATATAGTAAACAGGGAAAATTGAGATAAAGTGGTTTTGATTTTTATTTGTGGTGTTCTTTTGGCTTAGAAGAATTAATCATATATGGATTTGTTTTTAATTTTTTGGCTTGCTTTCTAAAAAAGAAAAATGGCTTATGCTTTTATGTCTGTTGGTGTTTAGGGAATAGTTTATTATCTGGCTTTGTACTCTTTTAAGTGACGCACACTAAACAAATTAAAACAAATGATATATAGTTTGCAGGACTAGAAAGTTTTGTGTAAAAGAGAGGACAAGATATGTAATAGTTCACACTTAAACAGTGCAAGTTGCATGTGTTTTAAAAATATGCTATCTTTGCATTTATTTTGGTTTTTTTGTGGGATGTTTTACTTTAGTCTGTCCCTGAAATGCCTGCCTTCTTTGTTGCTGCATAGTACTGTATGTACATGTGTGTAATTTTATTTTAAACCTATTTTGAAACAGTGTTGGCAGAAAAGTAACGTAGAACATTAGGGGAAGAGCTCCTTTTGCAGCTCTTATTTCTATTATACTATACACACCAGTATATTAGTATGTTTCTAGTAAAATATGGAAAATACTTGACTGTACGGAACAGCTCTGATGGGAATCACTCAGGGCTGGAAGAAATAACTGATTTTTATTCATTTATTTTTCTCTTTGGTTGAAGATGATAAATTCTAGGCGCACCAATAACCGTTTTCAATTGCTAAAGCTTGTCTGAATACCCATCTATGTCGCCATCTTCTAAAAAATGTTTTCTGTTAACATTTCACAGTGTGTATCTTAGGTGGGGGGGATATCTGGTTTCCAATGTTGGGTTTGTGCTGGGTAGAAGGTTTTCATTGTGAATGATCTTTTTGCTGCCTTGCTTTGAAATTGAAGCTATATATTTTAGTTTATTACACTAAAACTTCTGTTTTCTTTGCCATCTTTCTTGGTGGATAAGAATGAATGGCGCTTCACTGTCTTCAATAAAGAAGTAAATTGTCCAGAAGGACACTCATATTTTCTTTGCCTGAAAAGAGATCTCCAACATGATGTAATAAGGTTCAGATAAGAGACATTTTTAGGTCTCTTCCTAAAGAATGTCCTAAAAATGGAGAGTACAGTAAAATAACATTATATATTTTATATTATATATAAATGTCCATATAATATATAAATGGTGTATTATGTACAATGAGTCCATGAAAACCAGTTACTTCATTGCTGTCCTTTAAGTTACATAGTGACTAACATTATGATTTTTCAAGTCACCATTTTCCATTTTTAACCTTATCTGAACTGTAAACTTGAAAATTTTAATGATGCCACATCAATCAAGAAGCTACCATCTGAGGGCTCTAAAGTTTCTTTATCTTGTACATAAAATTTAAGTTAACAATTTAATACAAGTAAGATAAGTATCTTGTATGTTAGATGTTTTCTATAAAAATTACAGTACTATCACAGTTCAAATTATGAGACTAAATGATGAACATTAGTATTTAAAAATATCACCTTAAATGTGAAATCTACTATGAAAAGCATCTGTATTTTTAATACTTTTTAAATACAAGTTTTGAGGGAAAACCAATGACAAATTTTATAGTCATCCAGTCCTGCATCTGATAGCACGTATTAGGGACCGCTACAAGCCATGCAAGCTGCAATGAAACCAGTGAGATTTAGGGTGACAACCAATGGTTTTACCGATGTAGTCAGCAGCAGAGGCAGGATTTTATTTAGGATCTGATTTGTAGTGAAGCACAGCTCTTGACAACCTGTGTCATGAAGCCAAATTAAGCTCTTTCTTTACGTAAATTTTCATTGATTAACATAAACCTAGAAATCATAAGTTGCTCATAAATTTTTAACATGGAATCTAACTTTGAGGTTCTCCTCTTAAAAGTAACTTTCTTGCTTTCGAACCTAAAATTTACATGTTGAAAGGCTTTTAATTCTAAAGATAAAATACACTGTATGAAAGCAGTTGTTCTTGTTCAGTAAAGTTATTTAATGATTTACATCTGTATGAGGGAAATACTGTACATTTGTCCAGGCTTAATTTACGCTTTTGAAAGAATGATGTATTATAATATGCAATCCAAAATAATCCTCCATTAGTGTCATCCTTTAAACAATTTGGAGGACAAAAGAATATATAGAATAAAGCATTCATTGAATCAGCTTTTTTCAGCCGATCTAAATTCTTCAAAGCAGAAAATGCAAGTGTGTGTTAGCTTATATGGCCTGGGTTTTTTAAAGGACTTTGTCACTATATAGATGTAATAACTTTTGAAGTGATACACTGAACTTGCTGGATATATGGAGAGGACATATTCCAGAACTGGAATTTTTATTTTCAGCCCTAAATACACACCCATTGAGGCATGTTTAGATGGTGAATATAGGGCTCCTGTACATGTCGAAGCAGGCTCCCTGCACATGCTGTAATGACAGTTAATTCATGGTAATTATCCGACTCCAGTGGACTCCAACGTCATGTGTATCAGCATCCCTGTGCTGAAAAATGGCATTGGGGAGCTTAAGTTTAAAGCGCTCCACCGCCATTTTTCAGCATCGGGTTGCTGTTGCACGTGACGCTCCAAGTGCTTTAATTAGCACGGCACTTGAAGCTGTGCTAATGAAAGTGCCACATTCTGGAGCACATCTATAAATGCCCATAGTTTTATTTTGCTGGGGTCAAGTGTTTGATATTTCTTCATGCAAACTGAGGTTGCAGTTTGACAAGCACCTATACACGTGCTTACCTTACAAAACATGTATAGTGCTTTAGTTAGGTATTTATATAAGCATTTGCCCAATTGAGGTTGAAATGGTGGTAAAGGAGTGTGCACTTTTAAAGATTATATTCCATGCTTGGCCCAGACTTAACGGTTGCTTTGACGGTCTTTTGTCTTCTATCAGGCATTGGTACCATTTGGAATAACTTCAGACTTTTCAGTGTCTGATTGGGCTACAAATATTGTTTATGCTGGAATTTTAGAATTAGCATCAACTTTACTGATTTCAAACCAGTTTTAGTTCAGTGAACAGGAATGTCTGTCCGCATGAGTGCGACTGAAAGAACTTTTAGAGAAATGGATATGGAAATGACTGGTGGGAAAGATAGCTTAGAAAACTTTTTAAGAAGGATAGTTTCAAAAAAGAACAAACAGGCTAAAAACCACTCTTGGAGAAATAACATGGTCACAAAAATAAAACGGCACATGTCACAAGTGATGCAAAAGGTTTATTGATGCTTTCTGCCATTTAACTAATAATTATTAAATGGAGGGAATGTTTTGGAGTGAAAGAACTATTTAGTCGAAGACAGGATTTCATTTGTCAAATAACCAACCGGTAAGTGTACTAATTCTAGTAGTAATTCTCTTCAGCAGCGTGACAGAGAAATGCATTATTGTTTAATTAGATAGATGTTCAGAGTGAAACTTGAATGTCAAAAAAGTCAAAAATGGGCAGGACTGATTCAAAGGCATGACAGACCGCTTTATATTATTTGAAATGGCAAAAATACTTTATTGGAATCCGGAGCTTTAACAAAACAGCTGGGTGCCCGTGGTTGTATAGCTGTAATGACAGCTAATATTTTTCATGGACCCACACTACCCCTGATCACCCTGCTGTAATTATACTACTTTTGGAATCGGCAGCCTTCTACGTTTAGCTGACACGCTGGAACAACCCATAGAGAAACGGTGTAATTTTTTTTCTTCCTTGAATATTTTTTTCTCACAATGGACTTCCATCAACTTCAGTTTTATATTAACTACTTTCAAATAAGTGTATATTCTGGGAGACCACCTTTTTAAATAGAGGATCGTCTGAATTTTTAATTTTTTTCAATCCCTGTTCAGACACAGGGTGGTTTTGCAGGAGGATCAGAGAACATGCTAAGTAATCTTAGGTTTACCCTCCCTTCTCATTACTCCCCAGTGCGTGGTCAGTTTTGGCTGTGCTGCTGCCATGACTGGCAAGTAAGCTCTTGCAGAGCCCGTGGGAGATCGTGCATTGGAGCCTGCCCAAGCACAGCATGAATGCAGTCTTGTATAGAGATAACTGGAGTTAACTTGGGTACTGGAAGCATCATAGCCACAGTAACATGATGCTCTGCCTGTGCTAATTACCCGGTTTCTCAACAGAGGTATTTTCAGAGCTTGCTTACCTACATCTATCCAGTACTACCTTGTGCTGTGATACTATGTACAAGAGCAGTATGAGAGAGGAAGCAAAAAGCCAACAATAAAATATGGAAGATAACTTTACACAAAATGCTATTAAATGTGCAGAGTCCTCATTCTGACAAGATTTCCATCCATACCCTTACTGTTGCTTCTGTGGGTAGCCCCATGGATTTGGTCCAGTGGTTTTTCAACTGGGATGCTGTGACTATGTGCTGCCACTGCCAAAAAATGATTTGAAGGGTTCTTTTTTTGTTTCATGCAGTAACATTTCTAAAGCTTAGCACTGTGCTTCCTAACTAAATTAAAATATGCCAACCTGTTTTAATATACAAGCAATTAATGTTCAGAGATTTGCTCTTTCATTGTTTATGCAAGTGACTTCTGTATAATTGGTGACAAGCTAGAAGCACTTCATTTCTAAGCCTTCTGTAAGTCTGTGAAGAGGAAGGTTCAGCAATTCTCACTGAAGTCAAATAACCAGCTCTTTAACCCTGAAGTAAGCTTTTTCTATCAATCTTACTTGTATAGATTTAAACTGCTGAATAAATCAAAGGTAGTGTAATACTTCAGTATCTGTGATCCCAGTCTTGCAAATACTTACACATGTACTTAGCTTTAGCGCATGAATAATTCCATTCCCTTGTGACTATTCACACGAGTAAAGCACATACATAAAATTTAGAGAATCATGATCTAGGTGTGTAAAGATGGCATTAAAAAAACTCACTTTCACATTATTTCAGCAGATACTTAACTATTCCTAGATTTTCTTTTTTTTTCCTCACAAATTCTTGTGTTATACCAAACTGCAGCATTCTTGCAGTTTGTTAGAATGAAAATGTGTAATTATTTGGTAAAAATACCTCTATTTGCACCTTCAGTGTTGATTTCCTCCTTGCACTGTTAGTAAAATCATAGGCTATGACTTGCTTTTAATGATGGTGGCTTTCACCATTTTAAAGGAAACTTGTTAACACAAGAGGTGTTAGCCAATTGTAGGAACCTGTGACAGTGTGGATTTACACTTTCTAACGTGTTTCGGTAGGAAATCAACAGTTTTCAGTAATGGAATGGCATCTTGTATAGCATTATGATTGATTCAGTAGAGCACTTTAACACCAGCGTAATCACATGCATGTCATAGTCGCATTGGAATCAAGTTCTCATTTGCTTAAAGTTATACTTGTGTTCAAGTGCTTTTCTGGACTGAGGCTGTAGAGTAGACTCTTTCCATAATAGTTTCTTTTCTGCTATTCATTTCATAAGCAGGACATTTCTTTAGTTTTTAAAAAGAAAACTTGCCCAAAATTTTTTCCAAAGACTTATGTTCTAAAGAAAATTTAGAGCCCTCTATTTTTTTTTAAAGCGTCCTTGTTTTGCATACAACTTGATAATTTTAAATTTGTATTTTAATAAAACATAGACTCAGTTTTGTCTGGAAATGTATTACAATTTATTTCTGCCATTTTTGTGTAAAATTTACAGAAACAGTGTTACATCGTGCGCTCCAAAGGTAATGTCTCATTCCTCTAAGGCTGTGTCCTTTTTCTTTTCTCTCTGTTTTTATCTCTTTCTTGTCTCTTTCTGATCATATTGTTATGTACATTAAATCCCATGTTAGGACTGAGGTCCTTCTAGGAGAAAAAATATGACTGTCTATCAAAAGATACTATGTGGCAGTATTTTAAACTAATTTACTAGTAACCTTCAGTGACTTTACAATCTCTTTCTTGTAAATGTTAATTTAAATGATACTGCCCCTTATGATGGTATTTGGGGGGAGGGGGGTTAAACTTATCCAAACCAAGATATTTAACAGATATATTATTCTATATATAAAAGCAAAAAGCTTGTTGGGGAGAGTTTTCTATTTTCAAGTTTGGATGGAGTATTTTTTAGGTAACTTAAGTAAAAATTCAGTAGGACAAAATCTACTTACTGCTTTGAAAAGCGACTGGGCAAGAATGAAGAGGGATGTGTGTACGTTGACAATTTAAGTAATCTTGAAGTGGTATTAACAGACATTCAGTTTAATTTATTACATTTCCATTAATTTTAAATAAGCTTTCTAGGAAGTTTTTCAAAGGCATGCTCAGCAGTTGGGCACCAGACTCTCCTTTTGAAGTCTGTGAATTGGTTCTTGTATTTTGTAGTTTATGCACTTAAAAGTTTCCCCTTTGACTAAGCTTTTATTCTTTTGTTTTCATTGCGTGACCAAGAAAGTGAAGAGAGTTTAAGAATTTAGTAATGTGTTGTCAAGGAAATGAGAGAAACCTGGGTGGGCTTTTACCAAATGACTCTCCCTTTCCTTCTTAACCAAGACTAGAGTCATGGTTCAGCAAAGCACATAAATATGCATCTGAGATCTTTGCTGATTTTGGGGACTGCATTGCTCACTTTCTTTGTCCAGGATTCACTAGTACAGTGTATTTAGTGTCTTAAACTTGGGTGTTTTCCTAATTCTAAAAGCTAAGGCATGTACATTTCAGTGCTGGTTTCACTTAATCACTTTCTTAATTTTCAGTATTTCGGAACATTTATATTTAAACCTGCTTAAAGTAAACTGTTTGCTTGGGAGCAGATTGTTAATGCATTTTTCTTTTGCTTATAAAATTGCAATGGCCATAAGAAATTGCTTCTTTGTGTTAATACAGTATATTACAGAAGTAAAGTCAGCTTACTTTTGTGGAAGACCAGAAGGGACATCTGCCACTGTGGTGATAGAAACTTAATGTCTCTCATTTGGTGTTTTATACTAGAACTTTTCTGTTTGTTTAGGGTGGGTGAGGTACACATTGGGATTTGGACCTGAATAAAGGTACACCATGAATGTTTAAGGGTGGCAGTTCAGTCTTTTGGCAGGTGTATTTCAGTGGTGCAGCATCACTTGATTTTTATTGGATGGAATTGTGTATGCCAGTCTAGTTTTGCATTAGGCAGTGAAAAGTAGCTTTACAGTGATAGTGTAGACAGAGTCTGGTAGAGCCACTTGTACACTGTCACTGTTGGTTTGGTACTGAGTCTGCTTTAATGAAAACTCAAATGCAACTTCCACTCTAGGCCCCTGATTGGAAGAGAATCCATTCAAAGAGGTTAAAAAGGAAAAACAGGACGTGGGGATTTCACACACAACTTTAAGAATAGAAAGTCAAAGTGTCCAGCTCTTGATTTTTCTCATGTGCAATATAATTTTTTTAACATGCCATCCCTCCATGAATTTGTTATGAAATAGTGCAGTTCTCCTTTGCAACTTTAATATAGCCTTTCTTAGAACTGAATGAAGGTAGCTGCTAATGCAGTGTCAGAATAAAGTGTTTTTAACCTGGAAATTTTCTTTCTTCATTGGTGAAGGATTTAAAGAGATACTCTGATTCCTAGCTATATTATGATTGATTTCATTTTTGTTAAGATTTATTTCTTTTACATTTTTTTTTCTCATGGGATGTCAGAAATTTGACAGACCCTAATAACTGGTAGATATACAGAAGGTAGAGCACTGACTTTTGGTTTGGCATTTCCACACCCAGTAGTTTCTAACTTGAATAAATGAGTGAATCTGTGATATGTTAATGATGGGTAATATTTGTATGTATTACTATACAGTTCGTACTCTAGCTGGCATAGCCCTGCAGTGGTGAAGGCAGCATGCAAATTTAACAAGATCTTAAGTATTGTAGTCCTGACTTGAATATAATGCTTTAAACTGATTTATGCAGCCAGCAAATAGAAGAAGAATGAGGAAATAGTACTTACTGTTTTTTATCAAGCTGACTTAAAAATAATAGTTTTAGAATGTAACAATTTCAGCAGTATTTAAATTATTGTTAGTTTGCCCACTAGCTTCTTATTGCCAAACTGCATAGTATTTATCATTAAAAATATATTTCAGGTCAAGATGTTGGTTTCAGTATATACAAACACTGTACATGAAAAGTATTTAGTGCATATAAATATTGCATGCATTTAATCAGTTTTTGGTAGGACTTTTACATGTGAAAATGTAGTGTATAAGTGTCCCTATACTTTAATATGCTTGTAATCTAGAATTTTTAAACTTTTTTTTTTCAAATATTTAACTGGATTTTTTCCACCTTTTTTTTGTCTTTTGCCTTCACCTTTTTTATTTTATTGTGCCATTCTTCTTTCTACCTCTTCATCTGAATCCCTGATTTTTACCATCTTATCCATGTTGCTGTTTGTCACACAGAACAACAAAGCCTGCTCCTCATCTTGATGGGTAAGAATCTTTTTAAAACGTGTGTAGCAACAATCATTCTAAAATGCATAATTAATATACAAACACTGTATATGAAACAGCTCAATTTTAAAGGCAAACAAAAGCCAGGAGAGAGCACTTTTTGGGGGAAAGCAATATAATGAACCATGAAACAATAATTGGCATATTTTATCACCATTTTTTCAAATACACATTTTTGTTTTTGCACAATAAACTATGCATATAAAATGTTATATTATTTATTTTTATGTTCTAGCTTTCAGTTGTCAACAGTCTTAGACTCTGGATTTTTTTTAAAGAAATGAAATTAGTTTGGTGCTCCGTCCTATAAATTATGTTCCCAAATAAATTTGCTACAAACATTAGTAGTAGAACTTCCACGTGGAAAGGAACATTATCAGTGTTCTAGTTAACTCAGGAATGTCAGAGATGTGGTCCGGTCCTTGGAGCCCTATCATCTGGGTCGCAGTGTTGCCTTTTGGTCTTGGAGTTGACCCATGTGCCACTTGAAGTGGTAGGGTGGTCCCACTTTGAGAACAGGTTAAACTGGATGACCTCCTGAGGTCCTTTCCAGCCCTGCTTTTCCTATGATTACGTGGTATGCTGCGGGGCTTAATGAGTTTGACACCCTTGAGTTAACTCATAGTAAGGGTTTCTTCAGTTATTATCCTGATTCACTGTGTAACTTTGGACCAACCCCGTAACTTCTTCTGTTCCAGATGGCTAGCTGTAAAATGCTATTGATAATGTTTACCTATATTGGTGCTTTGTACTGAGAAATAAGTTGATCAAGCCTGAAATCAAGAATGTCTTAAAGTTCTCTTAAGTACCTTAATCAAGCTATTCCTGTACTTCTCAATAAAAGCAATGCAGAGTCCTGCAAACACTCTGGATGGAGGCTCAGTGGCCTCATACCTTGACAGTGGCAAGGGCAACCCTCACCAAGCTGTCTCAGTGGCTGATGGGAAACCTACCACTTCCCTTCCGAGCTTACATCTCTTACCTGTGTGAGAGATGTTCCAGACCTCACCCAACCAGGCAGAAAACTTATGGGTGGAGGACAAAGATGAGAGCCTGCTTAAATAGCTCCTACAAGGGATGGTGGGAAAGCACCAATAAGAACTCTAAATACAAACCCATGCCTCGATCTACTCCATAAATATATAGGGGGTGGATTTTTATCTTGCTGTTTTATCCAGCATGTGCATAGCTGCATTTGTCTTGCAAGGGTGCTGTTGACTTTCAGAAGAAGGCAGACCTGCGTTCTTAGAAAATAGATCCATATTCTCTATTGCATGATATCCCAGTGCTGAAGATATCCCTAGCATTATTCAAACCTATTTGGGGAAAATTGACTTAAACAGTCCAAAAATAGTAGTGAAGCTAATTGTTTCCCTGTAAAACTATGACTTTTAATCTAAAGGAAGTTTAGAGAAGAATCCCAGGTATGCCTAAATCATTTTAATTTCTGAATCTTATTTCTGCAGCGTACATGTTGTCTTTGGACTGGTTATTTCTGGTTTTGAAGTAATAGAGCAAATAGAAAATCTGAAAACTGATACTGCAAGTAGGCCATATGCAGATGTACGAGTTATTGACTGTGGAGTGGTCATTACAAAATCAGCAAAAGACGGTAAGCAAACACGGTTTTGCTTGAAATTAATTGGAAGTTGTCCTTACTTGCAGAAAGCATGGAATATATGTCTATATAAATGTGTCTGGTATGTATTCATTGTCTCAGGTCATGGGTTTTCAATCTTTTTTTAACAAGTGTATCCCCGACAGCCCCCTTTTAAATAACTGTACCCCCCGGGGGGAAGGGGAGGGGGGGGGCATGGCAAGCAGCCAGACACGGAGCAGGGGGGGTGGGGTTTACCACTGATTGACAACCCTTGTTTTAGGTGCATGTGTGTCATATGAAGATGCGAAATGTGGCAAACTGGTTTAGAGAGGTGGGGGTTTTGTTTGTTGCCTTTAAGTAGATATAATAGATTCCTGTTTACTGAGATAGATATGTCTATATATACACATCTAGCTATCTAGTGAGAGATCTAGGTAGCCAGCTACAGAGATAGAGATATAAAAAAGTGTATGTATGTGTCTGATGGAAATTTGGACTCAGAATTTAGTATACCTTATTTTAGGGTAAAAATAAGTACCGAAGGGCCTATATATTCAAAGTGACCAACTTTCAGGGGGCAAATCTGGGATACAGTTCTGTATGGCCTGTCTACCCCTGGAACCAATAGTATAGACAACTGATTTCTTTTAGTGTAGCTGCCTTAATGCAAATGTAGCTCTCGCTTTATACACAGCTGTAATGCTTCCTGCTTGTCTCGTCTTATCTTGTGCATAATCATGCCAAATTAGAAGATGATTATTTCAAATTAATCATTTTATATTATTCACTTAACATGTATGATTTTTAAATAGGTGGGAGCCAACCTTTTGGGCAGGTGTGCCACAAATTAGCCTTGCACCCTCTGAGTACCTTTCCAAACCCTTCTCCTGCCAGTCTGGTGCTCTTTACTTCCTGCCTTGTGCTCCCTGCCAAAACTGTTGCTCTGTTTTCTGCTCCCCGTCCTGTCTGCCACTGCGCTGTCTTTCCCCTCCCCAGTCTGTTCATGTGCGGCACGGGTTGGTCACCCGTAATCTAAATGCTTATATGGTACAAATGGTATGTAGCATGTCACTATTTTGTTTCTGTTGACATGTGGCTATTTGTGAAATAAAGTAGCTTTGTCTATATTATGTTCAGTGGAGAAACATGTCTGTAATCTAATAATGAATTATGCAATTGTCTTTAGTTTTGGAGAAAAAGAAGAAAGTGTCTTCTGATTCAGAAGCTTCAGATTCCTCGGCCAGCTCATCAACCTTTTCAGAATCATCATCTGAAAGTGAAATTGAAAATGAAAGAAGTAGAAGAAGAAAACGTAAGAGAAGAACTAAAACTAAACAATCAAGAAAGCGAAGAAGAGAAGAGAGGAAGAAAGAAGAGCCAAGGTGTAAACGGACATCAAACCAAAGAGGGTGACTAGTTTGTTAACTTTACACATTCTAAAGAGAATTGCAATGTTAGTATTGTCCATCATGAAAAAATGAAAATGTATTTAACTTTGTGAGTATGTCTTTTTGTTTCTTGGTTATACCTAAGGACAAATTCACTGTAGATTTATCTGTATTTTTTTCAAGTGATCACTGTATACAAAAACCACTAAATGAATGTTAGTATTAGGGCTGTGTGAAGCTTTGATAGCTGATTTGATTTGGAGGAGATTTGGCCCAATTCGGTGACCAAATCTCCAAATTCAAATTGAATTGGGAGATCAGTTAAAAGCTCCAAATCGATTCAAAGCATCCAAATCAATTTGGAAAAGATTTGGCAATTCGGCCATAGACTAAATAAGCAGCTGACACAGCTGCCTCCAGCTAGTAAGTCTGTTGGGGCTGGGGAATGGGGGAAGGGGAGGGGTGTGAGGGAGGGATTGGGGCTGGGACAAGCTGCCCAGCTGGGGTGGGCA